CTGCGAAGTTTTGTTTGCGCGTTCAAGTGTCAACAGAAAGCTGTCAGTCGTCTCTGCAACAATGTTTGGCTTACCCTGGTCATGCATATCCATCATGCAACTGGGAGTTTAGTGAGTGACTATTTAGCTATCGCTTCGAATTCTTCTCCCTCCCGAAAATTTCAAAGGATAAACTGTACTTACAAACTTACCGTTTTCTCCCTCGTTTAGTATCGCAGGATTAGGTTCATCGTTCATGGTGGCGACAGGTTCCTTGAAAAAATAATTTGACTGAGAGTAAGTCTATTTACTCTGTAGCCGGGTTAGACAAACGTTAATATAGAAGCCTTCTCAAAGAGATATCAATAGATTTCATGAAAAGTGCACCTCTATTTCCAGCTCGGGGTCTTCTTCGCTCTCGATACTGAATGCCTTGGCCAGACACAAAACCATCAGCAACAAAGCGAGGTACTTCATTTTCCTGGAGTGATCCAACCATTAAAATATTATAGACATCAGTGTAATGTCACTCGTCGATAGAAATGAACTGCCTTCAATTTTTATCGATTGCGATTTATCTGAGCCCAAAGGCGCCACGATTATTCAGAATTTAAGATACGTAATTAGTGACTAATTATCAAACCCTTTTCCCCTTAACCAGTATCGAAATATATCGATGTCAAGCTTCTTGTTTTAAAACACCTCACAAATTGTTAAAATTCCGGTCCACAGGCCACTAAAAGAGCTGCATACTGTTGTTGAAATTATTTTCAATCGTTGGTTGAAAAGTTTTAAAGTCCGTTTGACGCCACTCAAAAACATTTTTGGTCGCCAACAACTTTTTGGTCGCCAGATTGTTCTTTCAGTGCACAAAAAATATGGTCAAGGAGAGCCCGCTAGGCGCTAAGTTCGCTTATTTCCAATTTTAAATACAGCAGTAACCAGAAAATGCAAATAACAAAAATTCGTGTCATAGGCACTTTAAGAAGTATTTGTTGTTTAAATCTGAGTTGATTCTAACTCAGGGTCGGCCAGGGGGG